CCCGAGTGGGATGAACAACAGAAACATTGGTGAAGAGAGACAACAGACAGTATAAAATATGAAAGAATAATAAGCTATACTTTATCAAGGGTTCACAAGGAAGGAAATTTGGGGGAGGGAGGGGAAAAAGAGGAGCTGATACCAAGGGCTCAAGTAGAAATAAAATGTTTTGAAAATGATGATGGCAACATATGTACAAACATAGTTGATACAATTGATGTCTGGATTGTTATAGAGCTATAAGAGCCCCCAATTAAATGATTTATAAAAGAAAACAAGGGGAGGGGGGATTTTGAGGTCAGGGATAAGTCCATGGGTCAGAAATAAGCTGAAGATTTCTCCAGTCTCCTGGGGCTGCAGGACCGACAAACAGGAAACAGGCAGATAAAGCAGGAAAGACCACAGCTGAATGAATCCTAGATGAGCATTCCACTAACCACTCCTGGGATCAATCAGCAGATGCTATCAAAGGAGTTCTACGAACCAGATGCAGAATTCAATTCTAGCAATAGAAGCCTGCTAGCTTCCATGCACTGTCCGTTTATACCAGGAGTAGGCTACTTTGTAAATAAAACCTCCTTCGATGGTATCAAGGCTGTGACCCCATTAAGGAGGTTTATTCTCCCTACAACTTCTCCCCCGCTTCATAGAAGATCCCATCATGGAGGTAACCACCCTATATTAGATCATGCCGTGGGAGAATCCTGGCCTACACAAGATAACACAAAACTGAACCATCATGACACGATACCCATGGAGCTTCCCAGAACATCTATCCCTGAATCTAAAACTGTGGGCTGAAAGAGCTCACTGACATGACCTTCTGTGTCTCCAAGCCCAGTGTTTCAGTTGTGGGTCTGACCTGCTATTTGGAGAAACCTGCCAAATACAATATGACATCAAGAAAGTTCTGAAGCAAACATCAGAGGGTCCCCCCAAAGGACATCCTGGGTTACACTGAAGACCAAGTTGTCTCCTGTCATGTAAAAGTGACACTCGCTCTCCCATCTTTGATGCTGGGCTAGCACTGCTGTCAACAACCACTTTGTCAAGCTCATTTCATGACATTACCATGAACTTGCTACAGCAACAGGGTGGGGGACCTTACGGTCCACATTATCTCCAAGGAATAAGATTCCCTGGGCCATCAACCCCCACAATATCCCTAGAGGAAGGGAGGGGTCCTAAGCTGCTGGGGAGGCATTGCCCCAACTTGATTTACACTGAGAATCTCCCATGCTTGACACATCCACGTCCCCTAGAAGAAGGGGAGGGGCCTAGAG